GGTCCCCCTCCACCCCTTGGGGGGGGGGAGGGGGAGGCACACACTGAAATGATATGCTCGGAGGGGGAAGGATGGAGCAGGGGACATAGAAGCGTAGAGCCGGGGGCTGTGCGACAGGAACGGCGACAGTTAGGCGGAGCGTGTGGCAGTGGCCACTCTCGCCCAGGCGCGGCCAGAGCGAGTAGCAAGTGGCGAGTAGCAAGCGGCCAGGGCGTGTGGCAAGTGGCGGAGATTAAGGCGGAGGCAAGGGCTGAGGTACCAGAGTTTGGCTAGCGGTGCTGCTGGCCGCGGCCGCCCTGGCCATCGCCAGGGCGGCCAGCGGTGGTTCTGGGTGAGGTAATCGAACTGCACGGTGAGGTGCCAGAGCGCTGTTGCGGTAGAGGCTTGGGCGCCCAGCTGTGGTGTGGCAGCGGCCACGATCGCATGAAGGGATGGCTCAAGGGCCTCCGCCCAGGCCGCAGGAAACCCACCTGCCCCGACCTCCAGTCCCACCAAGGGGAGCCTCTGCCACCGAGGCGGCCGAAGGGCTCCCAGGGCAGGGCTGGGACCAGGTGGGGGTTTCTACCAGGCGTGGGGAGGTTCGCGCCAGGCGCCATCCTGCGGCGGCGGCCGTAGTTAGCTGCAGATGCTCCCCCCCATCCCGTGTGAATTCCACCCGCCCCCACACTGATGGCTGTAGCAGCTGCACAGGTAGCAAGATATGTGAAGCAAGAAATCGGCACTCGGCTGCAAGTGTTACTTGTCTGCCTACCTGCCTGCTCTTCGGCGGGGCCACCCTTGCCGACGCCAAGGTAGCGATCTGCGCTGAGCTGCCTCGGAAGCTCGCGGGTGGCGTTCGGCGATTGCCGCGGGCTGCCAAAAAGGTTCGAGGAGTTGGCTGGTTGGCGGGCTGGCCTGCAAAACGGGTGAACAGGGTTCAGGAGGGGAAAAAACACACAGACACAATTAATCGTCGATTCCCCAGAAAATATGGGAAACTATGGGAATTGGTGGGGAAGACAACAACCAAGAAAATACAGGAAAACATGGGGAATCTTTTTATTTGTGTGTATTTGTTTGTGTGTCCTGGGGCCCCTTCAAGGGTGGGCTGGCTTGCAGTGCTGCAGGCCGCAGCCGCCCAGGCCTTCGCCAGGGTGGCCGGCCGTGTGTTGCCCCCCCGCCCCCATCCATGAAGCCGCCGTCCCGCCCCACGAGAGTGGTGAATGTGTAAGTCAGATGGCGGGGGGAAGTGGGCGACGCGTGACGGAAGAGTGCAGCCAGCAGGGAGCGGGAAGTTGGGTCTCCCCACCTCCTTTTCCTCCTGCCCGTCCGATGTCACCGCACTACCGACACTGCGACAGCAATGTCACCGCACGGTTGAAGGAAGCGACGCAATCGCGGTGGACCCCATGTGAGCATGGCGGTGGGATAGATCGGCTCCTCGCTCGCTTGCTGGCTCCTCTTCTTGCCCACCCCTTTCCCCCTTCCCGTTCCCCCTCCTTCCGCTCCGCGAGAGGCCTCCAGGAGGTCCAAACACGCCACCAGAACGTTGCGCACCTCCAGCTCCTCGATCCTCGAACATCGGCCTTCCACCTCCTTCTGCTCTTCCCTTTCTCCGCCTAGTGATCGTTTCCTTATTCATTGTTTTGCCGATCGACGCGTGCCCCCGCGCTCCCCCCCCCTCCCCCCCATGGAGTAGATCTTGGCTGTTTCTGGGGCCTGTTTCGAGCAGGTGGAGCCTCCCCCCCAAAGGATGCACTGCTGCACACAGTCGCATTAAGCAGAGGTCTGGAGCCATACCCCCCCTCCCCCCCCTTCCGCCCAGTGTCGAAGCGCCGAAGAAGACAACGCTCACCTATCGCCCTTGCCCTCGGGGATCAGGCGAGCGCCCCAGGCAGGCCGTGGGTCAGAACCCGGCGGGCCTGCATCCACAACCGTCTGCAGCGACGCGTGCTGAGCTTCTTTGAACTGCCGCTGCCGCTGCTGCTGTCTGGAACCTCTCCCCGAAGCGCCTCTGTCACTGTTGTGTAAAGGAGGAAGGAGGACGGAGGAAGGAGGAAGGAGGAAGGAGGAAGGAGGAAGGAGGAAGGAGGAAGGAGGAGGAGGAGGAGGAGGAGGAGGAGGAGGAGGAGGAGGAGGGGAGGGGGGGGAGGGGGAGGAGGAGGAGGAGAGGAGGAGGAGGAGGCTCCTCCTCCGTGTCCCTTCTTGCGAGGCCTGCGGAGGCATCGGGTCGTACCCCTGTCGGACCGGCGGTCCTCGGGCGGCACGGGGGCCCCCGATGCCGACAGCAGTCAAACACCGGTCCGTCGTGGCCTCTTCACGACGATGGCGTGTCTGGGATCAAATCTCCTCGTCCTCCTCCTCCTTCTCGTCCTCCTCCTCGTCCTCGTCCTCCTCCTCCTCCTCCTCCTCCTCGTCCTCCTCCTCGTCCTCGTCCTCGTCCTCGTCCTCGTCCTCGTCCTCGTCCTCCTCTTCCTCCTCCGTTCCTCCCTCCCGCCCTTCCTCCCCCCTCCCTCTCTCCCTCCCTCCCTCCCCCCCTCCTCCCCCTCCTGTTCCTCTTCCTCCTTCTGCTCCTGCTCCTGTGCCTCCTCCTGACGCTAACGCCGAAGGCAGGTTTGTTTGATGGATGGTCCGATGCCCGTCCTGGCCCTTCCTGCGGAGGGGTGAGTTTTGGAGATATCCGGAGCGTTCGAGAGAGGGGCGATGACTTCGGGTGTGGATCTCATGGTGGGGGCCATGAGATCTCCCTAGATTTCATGGTCCCCTCTTCTTCTTTCAATGTGTTCTCTAGTCCCCCCCTGGGCCGCGCACATGCCTACGGTCATGACTTGTAAGCCCCCCCCTTGGACGCCCCCCCCTTGGGCGCCCCCGAAAAAGGGGCGAGGGAGATCGACGGAGGGGGGACGACCCGAGAGGGCAACCAGCACCGGGAGGAGGAGCGGACGGGCAGCAGGCACGACGAGGAACAGCGGGAGGGAGCGGGGGGGGGGGGAGCCCCCGAAACATCCAAAGGAGGGGGGGAGGCGACGCGCCGCCTCTTCCTCATCCTTCTCCCTCTTCCCCTCCTCCTCCTCCTCTCCTCCTCCACCTCCTCCTCCACTCTTCCTCCCCCTACTCCCTCCCTCCTCCTCCTCCTCCTCTTCCTCCCCCTCCCCCCTCCTCCTCCTCCTCCTCCTCCTCCTCCTCCTCCTCCTCCTCCTCCTCCTCCTCCTCCTCCTCCTCCTCCTCCTCCTCCTCCTCCTCCTCCTCCTCGCGAGGCACTGTACCTCTGGAAGGCGTCCCCACCACGTCAGGGGAGCAATGCCCCTCGGTGGAGTGTGGCCAATCATCACAGCCTGGTTCGTAAATGTGGCAGGCAGGAGGAGGAGGCGGAGGAGGAGGAGAGGAGGAGGAGGAGGAGGAGGAGGAGGAGGGAGGAGGAGGAGGAGGAGGAGGAGGAGGAGGAGGAGGCGGAGGAGGAGTAGGAAGATTGAGGAGGAGGAGGAGGGGGAGGAGAGGAGGAGGAGGGAGGGAGGAGAGGAGGAGGAGGAGGAGGGTTGAGGAGGAGGAGGAGGAGAGGAGCAGGAGGAGGAGGAGGAGGAGGAGGAGGAGAGGAGGAGGAGGAGGAGAGGAGGAGGAAGGAGGAGGCAGGAGGGAGGAGGAGGAGGGAGGAGGAGGAGGAGCCCGCCCGCGGCAAGCGCGCCCCGGAGGCGCTGTCGCTGCAGGAGGCCGCGCGGTGCTTCCTGTGGCAGCCCAAGGCCCGCCCGTGCCGCATTCGGCCCGCCCCGGGGGCGAGGCCGCGGCCCCGCCTCGGCGGCGCGCCCCGGGGGGGTGAGAGGGGGGGAGGGGAGGGAGGGAGGGAGGGAGGGAGGGAGGGCGGGCGGGCGGGCGGGCGGGCGAGGAGGAGGAGGAGGAGCAGGATGAGGATGAGGATGATGCTGCTGATGATGATGATGCTGCTGCTGCTGATGATGATGATGATGATGATGATGCTGCTGCTGATGATGATGATGGGGATGATGATGCTGCTGATGATGATGATGCTGCTGCTGATGATGATGATGATGCGGATGATGCTGATGATGATGCGGATGATGCTGATGATGATGCTGATGCTGATGATGCTGATGAGGATGCTGATGATGATGATGCTGATGATGATGATGATGATGATGATGATGATGCTGATGCTGATGCTGATGATGCTGATGCTGATGCTGATGCTGATGATGCTGCTGATGATGATGATGATGATGAGGATGAGGAGGAGGAGGAGCAGGAGGAGGAGGAGCTGGAAGAGAGGAACATCGCGTGGGTGGCACTTGACACCAATGTGTGAAGTTGAAGAGGTGTGGAGGAGGAGGAGGAGCTTGAGGAGGAGAAGGAGGAGGAGGAGGAAGAGGAGGACCTTGAGGCGGAGGCGGAGGAGGAGGAGGAGATCCAGTGTAAGCCCAAGACGCATCAACGATAATGCAGTACACCCTCACTCAAAGTTCTTTCTTATAGGATCCAGCACTAATCTGTTTTCATTGCGGGAAATGCTGCATTGGAAAACAACCGTTTGAGAATCTTCAACTGGACTAGAGCACACTTCCGGGAACTTCAGCGTTGCGATACCAACGTGGTTGTTGCGTGCTAGAATCGTAACTCGTGCCAGAGGACAGTTAATGGGATTTCTTCGTTGCGAATCATTGTAACTGTTTCGTTTGGGAAATCCTAAATCTTTCCAGGACACCCTTCCTGAAACTCCGAGCATGCGAATCCTTGAATCTGTCGCATTATGTTGAGACGAAATTGCACGGGGCTGAGGAGCCACGTTTTGAAACGGAACCGCCCTCAATCTTTGAAGCCCGCAAACCATTAAGACGAGTGAAGGCGGAGCTGAGGCGAGAGCCACATTTTGAAAACGACCCGCCCACCATCCGTGAACCTGCTGCAAATTTCAATCCTCAGGGTCATACAGGAGTCTCGGGCGAAACGCCCAGCCCGCCCTACCGACACGTCGCTCGTCGGCTATCTTGAACCATCTTGGAGGCTACCTTAGAGCATCGGATGCCCTCTTGGAGCTGCAGTTCGGCAAGCAGCAATCTCCAGATCAAGCAGGCTTCCGCCCTGGGCGATCGACGCAAGACCATTTATTTACATTCCACCTTCTGAGGGAAAGAGCACGGGAATGGAACCAGCTTCTCTGGATTGCTGCACTCGATTTCAAGAAAGCATTCGGCACGGTTGAGCACGAAAGCCATTGGGCGGCATTTGAAAGCCAGGGCATCACAACAGATTACATCCACCTCCTGAGGCGGCTCTACTCAGAACAAACAGCGACAGCACGGACAGATTCGACCAGCCGCCCATTCAATTTGCGGAGAGGCACGAAACAGGGGGACCCCCTCAGCTCACTACTCTTGAATTCGCTCCTCGAGTACATCATGAGACCGCTCGTCACCAAGTGGCAGCAACGCGCCCAGGGAGTCCAAGTTGGATTCTCACCAGATAGCTGCCTCACGAACCTCCGGTTCGCTGACGACGTTCAGCGTGTGCCGGACACTCCCTCGCCTCACCGCGATGCTTGCGGATCTGGCCACATCAGCACGATCGCACGGATTACACATACATCCCGACAAAACGAAGATCATGTCCAGCTTATCCGAAAGTGCGGGGAGAGCTCGTCAACGCAAGGTGGCAATCGACGGCCTCGAGATCGAGATCTTACCCTACAGTGGCTCAGTGAAGTATTTGGGTTACTGCATTCGCTTCGACGACGCCGTATCCACACAGGTGAAAAACCGCCTCAGGGCAGGTTGGGCAGCATTCACAAATCTCAGACGGGAGCTTACATGAAGACACTATCCGCTGAAACATCGACTCCGTCTGTTCGACGGCACGGTCACTCCGACCATTCTCTATGGCGCGGGTACTTAGACGTTGACTGTGCCTCTGCGACAACAACTACAACGCACACAGCGGCGCATGCTGCGCATGATCGTCGGCGCCCCCCGACGACGAAGCACTGACGTCAGACCAAAGCCCAGCGCGACCAGCCTGCAAGAGCCACCTTCGACACCAGCTCCTGGACCCAGCGCAGACAGCACCGACGGAGAAGACGTAGACAGCAACCCGCCGACCAACCACCTGAACAACGAAACCGCCGACGAAAAAAACAACAATCATCTGTTCAGTGATAGTTAATCGTTTGGGTGATGATCTTCACCAGGGGCCTGCTCGCCATTTTTCTTCTTGGCGTTAGGCATAGTGCTGCTGGCACGCATAGCGGCCGGTTTGTGCCCCTCTCCTCCTTCCCCCCTCGCTCCTCGTTCGCTCTCCTCACCACTTGCGTTGGGCACCAGTGCGAGTCCCGCCAGTACGGACCGGTATGGGGTACGCACGCGCGAGTTTACATTTTAGCCGCGATTCCATTGAAGCATCCGCGCGACGGACGCGGAAACTTGCTATCACAATCAGCTTGTTCCGCGTGCTTCATTTCGGCTTGTGCGCTTTCCGCCAGTAGTCGCAGACTGCACCGAGTGTGACGAGTGGTATGCTGCTCATCGATGGTTCGCGCCCTTCCCTCTGCCTTCCCTCCCTGTCTCCAGAATATCTGTGCTGGAAAAAAATCCACGGCAACAGCGACAACCATCCCGACACCGACGATTTGGAAGTATGGGTGGAAGACGTCAAGCGAGCGACTCGACAAGCAGAGGCTCTCATGCACAAGCACAACCTACAAGATGTAGCACTGCAGCGCAACATGGTATGGAGATGCGCAACCCGAGTTGCGAATCAACTACCGCAAGAATGGCCACAACGCGTTCTTTATTGGCACCCCAGCCTCCCCGCCGCCCAGACCCGGCAACGGCATCATGGACGACAGTGGAAGAGATGGGACGATGATATTCGCCCGTTTCTCTACCATCATCAAGACTCAGACACCCGAAGCCAGAAACCGCGGAGGCACTGCGACCTCAACGACACCACGTGGTTACAGTCAGCTACAACAAACGAATGGGAGCAGTTGGAAGACATCTTCGTGAACCACGCATCTCCGTGAGCAGGCGCCCGACCCGCGGCAATTTTCGTGCGAGGCCAAGGCCTCACCCGCCTCGCCCTTAAGGGGCCCGGGCGCATGCCCGCACAGGCGTTCCGTTCCGTTCCCTTCCGTTCTGGGCGAAAAAGGACCCCCTCACACGACGCGACCGTCGCACCCGAACAAGAAACTTCACGGACGGTGGGGGGGGAGGTAAACCTCCCCGAAGGGAAGAGGGCCCTTTGTGGCAGCGGACAGGAAACTACCCTTGTCGACCACCTCTGCCCGACGGGCGGGTGGGATTCCGCAGGGCACGCGAGGGGGCACGCGAAGGTGGGCGAGGAGGACTCCGCCGCCCCCTCCCGACTGGCGCGCACAGGCCGCTGCCCTGCAGTGGGCCACCAGGGCGCTGGCGCTCCCCAGCAGGACCGGGCCTCCCCCCGGGGCGGCCGCCGCCTGGGCCCCCGGGGTGGCCCCGAGGGCGGGCGCCGGGCAGCTCTCCTTGGAGAGGGCCGGCTGCGCATCGGTCGTGGAGAGCGGGTCGTTTTTTGGAGTGCCAGGTCCCAATCTCGAGCAGTGGCGAAACGTCCTGGCTCGTCTGTAGCCCTACCCAGCAATGTTCTAAGAGCCTTGTGTGGTTTTTCACGAACTGTTCTTAGGACATTTCTGGCGGAGACTGTCTTGTTTTATCACATCGGGTTGATGCTCTAAAACAACATTGTTTCTGTTCTTCGAAGATTTTTGGGTTCTGAGAACATTTCGTGGTAGGACTATAGGAATGCCGGGACGGTCGGTCCCTGCTCAACAATCTGCTCTGAGCGCCTTCCTGCTTCAAGGATCGAGTGGCTTCATCTTTTCCGCCCTCCGTGGGGGGCGGGCGGGCACCCAATCTACTTTCAGCGCCTTCCTGCTCCGTGGTTCTACCTACTTCTTCCGACCGATGGGTACACGCAAGAGTGACCTTATCGCTGGGGGGACCTTCCAAGGAGGCAGAGGTACCCCCACCACCGCTGCCCTTGCCTCGTTTTCGCCCTTCCTGGGCCTCCTGGGAGGCCCTCGTCGCCACCACTGGATTCGCCTCGAAAGTCTTCCGGTCAGCGCGCACCCCAGGCGAGGTCTTGGAGCAGCAGTATCGGTATCTTCTGGTTACCCCGGACAGTTGGTGCGGGCACACTGGGGTCCCCAGATGACTGCACGCGATGCGGTAGCAGCGTCTTGCGCGCCCGGGTCGGGGCCTCCCCACGGCACCCGAAGGTCGCGCAGCAGATCGCGCTTCTGCCGTGGGTCACTCTTGCACGTAGCCGAGAGGGGGAGGGCCACGACAACAAACGGCACCCCGACAGACTCGAGTTCGCCCCAGAACTCGGGTTCGCCCACGTACGCTTTCTGGCGGGCCCGTCCTCAGTTTTGACGGTCCATTGTTGCGGGAGCTCGCGTCACATTCCAGACTGGGCCTCGTCATTTCCCTGAAAGCCCCGCCAGGCCAACCCAAGTCCCCAACTCTGAGTCTTCGTCTCCCCGACTCACTTGCAAGAACCATCCAGGATTCAGGTTTCTCAGGGGCGGCCGGTTCTTACAGATGGGGGCGAGAGGAGCCCTCCAGAGCTGCTACGGACGATGACCACAGGGGGCTCCACCGAAGGTCCCAATGGCTAACCTCGCATGCGGTGCCCCCTCCCAGTACAGCGTTTCGTGGGCCCATAGGGTGCTCCACCGAACGCCCCAGTGGCACTTTCCGCATGCGTTTCCCGCACCCAGTACGCAGTACAGCGGTTGGCCCCATAGGGAGCTCCACCGAAGGCCCCAGTGGCACCGTCTGCATGCGTCTCCCGCATCCAGTGCAGCTTCTCGTGGCCCCATAGGGCGCCCGACCGGAGGCTCCAGTGGAACCGTTCACATGCGTCTCCCCCCCCCGCCCAGTACAACGTTTCGTGGCACCATATGGAGCTCCACCGAAGGCCTCAATGGCACCGTCCACATGCGTCTACCCCATCAAGTACAGCGTTTCGTGGTCCCGTAGGGAGCTCCACTGAAGGCCCCAATGGAAAAGTCCACGTGCGTTTTCCCCCATGGCAAAATTTGCAAGCGCTTCCCCACCCAGTAAAGCGCTTCGTGGCCCCATAGGGAGCTCCACGGAACGCCCCAGTGGCAAAGTTCGCATGCGTCTCCCCCACCCAGTACAGCGTTTCGCGGCTCAGAGGGAGCTCCACTGAAAGCGATACCCACAAACGAGGTACTCAGAACTGCATCTGGTTATGTTCTTCGCCATGCTACCAAACGGGTCTCTCGCGCGCGCATGTGCAAATCATTCGAGCGCCCTTGCGCGCGTGCTGGGGGGCGCGGTCCCTGTCAAATAATACCATGCGGGCCACTCGCGCGCGTCGGGTGCGCGCGCATGTCGAAGTCTTTCCAAACGTTCATTACCGACACATGGACGCCATCATCACCATCATCATCATCATCATCATCATCATCAGCAGCATCATCATCATCCGCATCATCATCATCATCACCATCATCGTTATCAGCATCATCATCATCGGCGTGATCAGCATCTGCGCCGTCATGTGTTCTGCCGTCGTCATCGTCACCATCGTCACCAGCATCGCAGCAATCATCATCGTGTCTGCCCCGCCCGAGTTACCTGCTCGCACTGAAGTGCCTGCGCGTCGGCGCGGCCTGCGAGGCGCGTTGGGGCGTGCCCAGCGGTCATCGCCACCGCGACCGCGTCGGTCGCTCCAAACTAGCTGGCCGCTCTGCGCGCGAGCCTGCCCGCGCCAGCGCGGCCGCAGCGATGCGCCAGCCAGCGCCGAGCAGTCATCGCAATCGCTGCCGCATGGGTTTTGCAAACCGACTGCGGGTGGGTGTGTGGGGTGATTGCGCGAGCAGTGGAGTGCACAACCCACTCCGAGTAACAACTTATTGCGCCACATACATTGCACCATGCTGCTTCTCCTGTCTCAACAGGAAGAAGGGCCTTCCCCCCCCAGGATCACTGGGACCCCGTGGGGATGTGCAATGTGTGGGTGATTCTGCCCCAGCGTTCATTTTCAATGTGAACTCATACATCCCTGGCCGAGCTGGTATCGACCTTTTCTCGTCACCCATGTCAAACACACTATGCGCCCACATTCGTATGTAAGCAAACTCGCATATACGTGTACACACATATAAATACACATATATACGCATGTCTATATTTGTATATGCGCACGTGCACACATCCCCTGCAACATATGGGACGACATACGTGCGCGTGTCGTTGCGCGCGCGTCAAAAGCGAGCGCCCCAAACGCATATTTAAACAACACTGCTTTGTTCCTGTTCAAAAAGTCTGTGCGCTCGTTATTGCGCCGTTTTTTGTTGTAAACGACCGTGCATATGTTTCAACATGTTTTCCATCAGGTGCGACATAGCGTGTCTTTCGTTTCGCATGTGCAAATCATTCGAGTGCCTTTGCGCGCGTCGTGGAGGGGGCACGGTTCTTAATACCATGCGGGCCACTCGCGCGAGTCGGCCGCGCGCGCGTGTCGAAGTTATCCCAAAGCCTTCCCCGCCGACGCGAGGGCACCACCATCATCATCATCATCATCATCATCATCATCATCATCATCATCACCACCACCATCATCATCATAGTCACCATCGTCATCATCGTCATCATCCTCATCACCATCATCATCATCACTTTCGACGTGATCATCATCGGCGCCATGAGTGGCCTTGCCGTTTCTCTTCACCATCGCCATCAGCATCGCTACTGTCATAATCGTGCCTGCCGCTGTCGACGTCGCCGTGATACCGCGCCCGCCCGAACCACCGACTCGCACTGAAGTGCCCGCGCGCCAGAGCGGCCTGCGAAACGCGCTGTGACGTGCCCAGCGGTCAGCGCCACCACGACCGCGTCGGTCGCTCCAAACGAGTTGGCCGCTCTGCGCGCGAGCGTGCCCGCGCCAGCGCGGCCGTAGCGATGCGCCAGCCCGCGCCGAGCAGTCATCGCAATCGCTGCCGCATGGGTCTGCTGACTTAGTTGCGGGTGTGTGTGTGTGTGTGTGTGCGTGTGTGTGTGTGTGGGATGATTGCGCGATCTGTGGAACTGACAAGTTCAAGTCCGGCAGGGTGAATTGCACCACGTAGATGGAACGAGGGCGGGGGATGATGAGGAGGGGGAGGGGGAACAGAAACGCGGAAGGTTGGCGGGGGGGGGGGGCGGGGAGGCGGACGGGGGTGGGGGGACATGAGAGGAGGCGGAAGTCGGAGGAGGGGGGAGGCGGGGCGCGGATCGGGAAGAGGAGGGGATCTCATGCCCCCGTGCTCCTGGTCTGTCGAGGGCCGCCCCGACGCCCCTTTGCGCTTTGATCGGGGGGGAGGCGTCGGGGCGGCGTCCTTTGCAATGGTCGGGGGGTGGCAGCGCGTGCCTTCCAACGGGTAGGTCGGGATGTGGTATTCAGCCTCGGGGGTGGGGTGGGCTCCAGCCCTGCCCAGGCTGGGCCCCGCCTCGTCCGAAAGCCCTCCCGCGCCTGCCCCCGCAACTGGTCCTGCTCCTGCTCCCGCGCGTGCGCCTGCGCCTGCTCTTTCTCCTGCTGCTCCTGCTGCATCCCGTTGTCTCCCCCTCCCCTCCTTCCGCTTTCGCCCGGTCCCCCCTCCTCTCGCTACCTTCACCTCCCCTCCCCTTCCCCTCCCTAACCTCCCCTCCCCCCCTCCGTGCCCTCCCCTCCCCACTTTCTCCTCCCGCTCCTCGATCCCCTCATCCCCATCTCTCCGTTGCTCCCGCCCCCCCCCCAATCTCTCCCCTCATCCTCGGCCGCGAGGCGGCAGAGCAGAGCCTTCAGATCCTCCTCCGCCTCCTCCCCCTCCATCACTCCCTGCCCCATCCCCCTTCCTCTCCTCCCCCTCCTCCTCCTCCTCCTCCTCCTCCTCCTCCTCCTCCTCTTCCTCCTCCTCGACGCCCGCGCTCGGGCAGGAAGGCCGACACCTCGGCGACCGCCATCTGCGTTTGCATCCGGGACCGCCTGGAGGAGGAACCCTGGCGCCGGGGAGGCCTGCGCACCAGGGCGCGTCGTGGGTGGGGGGTGGCCTGGCTTCCGAGAGCGTCAGGGGGCGGCGGCTCGCGGAGGAGAGTGGGGGGTCGGCCGCCGACGGAAGGGAGGCAGGCCCACGTATGGGAGGAAACGTGGAGGACCAGGGGGGGGGGCAGGACGGAGGGGTGAGGAGGAGGGAGGGAGGGAGGGAGGGAGGGAGGGAGGGATGGGAGGGAGGGAGGCGAGGGAGGAGGGAGGGGGAAGGGAGGGAGGGAGGGGGAGGAGTGGAGGGGGAGGAGATAGGAGAATGGAGGAGGGAGAGGAGGAGGAGGAGGAGGAGGAGGGAGGAGGAGGAGAGGAGGAAGAGGAGGAGAAATAGTGAGGAGGATGAGGAGGAGGAGAGGAGGAGGAGGAGGAGGAGGAGGAGGAGGAGGAGGAGGAGGAGGAGGAGGGGAGGAAGGATGGAGGAGGAGGAGGAGGGAGGATGAAGAGGAGAGGAGGAGGAGGAGGAGGGGAGCAGGAGCAGGAGCAGGAGGAGAATGGAGGATGGAGGATGGAGGGGAGGATGGAGGATGGAGGATGGAGATGGAGGGATGGATGGAGGATGAGGAGGAGGAGGTGGAGGAGGAGGAGGAGGAGGAGGAGGAGGAGGAGGAGGCGGAGGAGGCGGAGGAGGCGGAGGAGGAGAGGAGAGGAGTGCAAGGAGGAGGAGGAGGAGGAGGAGGAGGAGGAGGAGGAGGAGGAGGAGCAGAGGAGGAGGAGGAGGAGGAGGAGGAGCAGGAGGAGGAGAGCAGCTGGCAGGAGGAGGAGGAGCAGGAGAAGAAGTAGCAGGTGGAAGAGGAGGAGGAGGACGAGGATTTGGGTTGGGTTGGGCAAGCGTGGAGACCTGGTCAAGCCAGGGCACGATTCACCACATCAACGAGGCCAGGGGACCCCACTCTTGGGCGGGAGAGGAGGAGGAGGAGGAGAAGGAGGTGGAGGAGGAGGAGAAGGAGGTGGAGGAGGCGAAGGGGGTTGGGTCAGGGAGGGAGGGAGGGAGGGGGATGCGGAGTTGGAATGGGAGGGAGTGGGGGGAGCAGAAGGAATGGAGGGATGGTTGGGACGTATTATTTTCTGAGACTAAAGTAATGGTTGTTGGTCATGATGGTGGTGGTGGTGATGATGGTGGTGGTGATGATGATGGCAGGGGTGATGGTGATAGCGATGCTGATACGGGTAAGGTTGCTGATGCTGATAACGACGACGACGACGACGATAATGATGCTGCTGATGATGCTGCTGATGCTGATGATGATGCTGATGATGATGATGATGATGCTGACGCTGATGATGCTGATGTTGATGCTGATGCTGATGCTAATGTTGCTGATGCTGATGCTGATGATCATGCTGATTATGATGATGATGAAACTGATGGTGCTGCTGCTGATGCTGCTGATGCTGCTGATGCTGATGCTGATGACGATGATGATGGTGCTGATGCTGATGCTCATGTTTATGCTGATGCTGATGGTGATGCTGATTATGATGATGATGCTGTTTGTGGTGATGGTTATGAGATGCTGATGCTGATTGGGACTGCGACGCCTGTAGAGGTGGTGGTGTTGGTGATGGTAGTGATGCTGCTGCTGATGACGATGCTGATAATGCTGATGCTGATGCTGAAGATGCTGATGCTGATGATGATGCAGATGACGACGACGATGTTGATGCTGATGCTGATGCTGTTGATGATGCTGCTGATGATGCTGATGCTGATTCTCATGATGGTGATGATAATGCTGCTACTGATGCTGATGATGATGATGATGATGATGATGATGATGATGGTGACGATGATGCTGATGCTGATGACGTTGATGATGGTGACGCTGCTTACCATGATGCTGCTGATGATGCTTATGCTGACGACGATGCTCATTCTGATGCTGATGCTGATGCTGCTGCTGCTGCTGATGATGATGATGATGATGATGATGCTGATGCTGATGATGATGATGATGACGATGATGCTGATGATGATGATGCTGATGATGATGATGAGTATGATGATGAGGATGATGATGATGATGATGATGATGATGATGATTCTGGTGGTGGTGGTGGTGGCGATGATGACGATGATGAGGAGTAGGAGCATGAGGGGGGGGAGATCAGAAAGAGCAGGAGGAGGAATTTGATGATGATGATGATGATGATGATGATGATGATGATGATGATGATGATGATGATGCTGATGCTGATGATGATGCTGATGCTGATGATGATGATGATGATGATGATGATGGGGAGGAGGAGGAGGAGGAGGAGGAGGAGAAGGAGGAGGAGGAGGAGGAGGAGGAGGAGGAGGAGGGTAGAAGGAGGGTAGGAGTGCAAACCAACGACCCATCAACGATATTGAAATAAGCCCTCCCTCGAAGTTCCCTCTTCACAGGCCCCTGCAGGGGTTCATTTGCACTATGGGAGAGGCCCCGTTGAAAGAGACCAGTTTGACAATCCGAAATTGTGCCAGAACATCATTACTCGGACTTCAACGCCACGAATCACCGTAACTGTTGCGTCTTGACGACCCTGAATTGTGCCATGATGCAATTCCTGGGACTTCGACACCGCGAATCAACATGTTTGTTGCGCTTTGACATTCAGACATCGTGCCAACACACCATTTCTGGGACGTTAACCATGATAACCCTGAAAACTGCTGCAAGCTCTTAAGACGAATGTGCGCGGTGCTAATTTGAAAAGGGGCCGCCCTCCATCCGTCAAGCTGTTGCATGTTTTGCAAGACAAGTGTGCGCGGCGCTAAGGGTAGAGGAACATTTTGAAAGCGACCCGCCTTCCATCCGTGTAGCTGTGCCATTTTTGTTAAACAACGAATGTGCGCGGCGCTAAGGGTAGAGCAACATGTTGAAAGCGACCCGCCTTCCATCCATGTAACAGTGCCATTTTTTACGACGACTGTGCGCGGCGCTAAGACGATATTCACTTTTTGAAAAGGAGCCGCTTCCATCCGTGAAACTCTTGACATTTTTGTTAAGACGAACGCGCGCGGCGCTACGGCGAGAGCCACACCTCGAAGAATCCGTGAAGGTTCTGCAACCTTTGAAAACGAATTTGGGCGGCGCTCAGGCGTGAGTTACATCTTGAAAGCGCACCGCCCTCTATCCGAGGGGATACTTCTTACAAGAAAGGAATGGATGATGATGAGGAGGAGGGCGGCATTCGTGAGATTCATACCTTCAGAAATCTGGAATCAGGAGGAGGAGGGGGGGACTGGTGGGAGGGGGAAACGTCGAACAGGGGCAGCTTGATGTGAAAGAAGAGGAGGAAGAGGAGGAGGAGGAGAAGGAGATCTAGGAGAGTAAGCTTGTGGAATATAGGAGTGAGGGGAGCTTGGGAACGTGAGATTCGAGACGGGCTTCTGCGGAAGTCTAGACTTCTGGGGTATTGTTGCCGGAGCGAGTGGTAGCCATTGGCTTTGTATTGCTTGTAGTTCTTTGTTGGGGTCCGGCTGCGGTTGGGACGACATCGAGCATTACCTTTGCTGCTGTGCAATGACACGCCGCAGGGGAAGGGGTGGTTGAACAAGACGATGAGGAGATGAGCAGTGTCGATGTGAGTGAAAGGTCCTCGTGTCCTCCTCCCGTTCGTCCTCTGCCTCCTTCCTCCTTCCCTTCTCCTGCTCATTGTCCTCCCTGTACTCCTCCTCGTCCTCCTCGTCCTCTGGAGGTCTTCGTCATCGTCGTCCTCCTTGATGTTTTTGCAGCTTCACACTGTATGGCGAACACACGACCACTGAGAACACAGAGATTGGTTATGTGTCCATCTTGGTCGTCCTCCACGACCTCGTCTTCGTCGTCGTCCTCCCCCCGCTCCTCCTACCTTGTCCCTTGTCCCTTGTCCCTCCTCCCTCCCCCCTGCCGCCTACCCCCTCCCTCCTCCCTCCCTCCCCCTTGCCCCCCTCCACTCCCTTTTTTGTTATTATCTTTTTTTTGTTTTCTCTCTCTCTCTCTCTCTCTCTCTTCTCCTTCCCCGCCTCCCCCTCCCCTTCCCCGCCTCCCCCCTTTCTCCCTCCTCCCTCCTCTCTCCCTCCTCCCTCTTCCTCCTCCTCCTCCTCCTCCTCCTCCTCTCCCCCCCGTCTCCCTCCCTCCCCTCTTTCCCCATCCCCTCCCCCTCCATCCCTCCCCATCGCCCTCCCCTCCCCCTCCCCTCCCGCCTCCTCGGCGGCACGCCCGCCCCACCCCCCCCCCCTCCCCTCCTCTCCCCGAGTCGGAGGAGAACGACGCGGCCTTCGACGACAGGCCCGCCAAGAAGCAGAAGGCGACTGACCCTAGCGGCGCTGTGTCGTCGGCGCTGCGTCGTCGTCGTCGTCGTCGGAGGTGGAAGCGATGGCGGAGGAGGAGGAGGAAGAGGAGGAGGAGGAGGAGGAGGAGGAGGAGCAGGAGGACGAGGAGGGGAAGGATGACGGCGTGGTGAGAGACTTTTATGATGGGGAATTTCTGCGATGAGTACAGGTTATTAACATGGTAAGGGAGGGCGGGGAAGGGAGGAGGCAGGCACATGATGAGTCTGGGGAACTTGGATCTGAAGAACAAGAAACTGCAGAATGCTGTTTATGGGATGAGGTGGAGGGGCATGAGGAGAAGGAGGAGCGGGAGAAGGGGAGCCAGATGCGGAGGAGGGGAATCGGACATTGTGGCGGGGATTAGAAAGGTATGTGGAAAGGGGTGGATGTGGCGTGAGGAGGATGAAACTGGATATGATAGTGATGATGATAATGATGACGATGATGATACTGATGATGATGATGATGATGATGATGATGATGATGCTGATGATGATGATGATGCTGATGATGATGATGATGATGCTGTTGCTGCTGCTGTTGAGGATGATGATGATGATGCTGATTATGCTGCTGCTGTTTGTAATGCTAGTGGTGATGATGCTGACGATGCTGATGGTGATGCTGATGCTGATGCTGATGCTGATGATGCTGCTGCTGTTGAGGATGCTGACGATGCTGATGTTGCTGCTGCTGCTGCTGATGATGCTGATGGTGACGATGATGCTGCTGATGATGATGATGCTGATGATGATGCTGATGATGCTGTTTATGTTGTTGATGATGATGATGATGCTGTTGATGATGCTGCTGACGATGCTGATGATGCTGCTGATACTGACGATGCTGATGCTGCTGCTGCTGATGATGATGATTCTGATGATGCCGATGCTGCTGATGACGATGATGATGATGATGATGATGATGAGGAGGAGGAGGAGGAGGAGGAGGAGGAGAAGGAGGAGGAGGAGGAGGAGGAGGAGGGAAAGGAAGGAGGATACCCTCATCATCATCGCTCTTTCCCATGCGTAGCTGCTGCATACTTCCATGCTTATGTTTATAACAATGGTTGACGCCTCAAGCGGTAGCCCCATTTTGCAAAATAGGCACCCTCCATCCGTTTTTCTGTTTGGAACTTTTCAGATTCATGTTCGCGCTAAGGCCAGATATTTGAAAACCACCTGCCCTCCATCCTTGTGGCAGCTAGGGACTTTTGAAGAGAAGATGTGCGGCGCTTAGGCCAGGGCCACGAAGCCACCCGCGAGGGTCATGCACAGCGAGGAGGTCTCCAGCGAACCGCCCCGACCCCCAGACTGACACGTCTGCTGGGGCGACGAGGAGTCTGGTCAGGAACTTTGGCGTGGCGCGCCGCCAGTTCTGGCCCACCACGCCTCGGCGCGACGCGCTGGCCACGCCACAGCCCCCGAAGCGTCCACGTCCCGAGCCTTTCTCCGCGTCCCGCCCCGCGGGGCGGAGCCCCACGCTATCAGCCCGCGGGGTGTAGCGTCGTCGCCGGGGCCGCTGCAGCGAGACGCTGAGCGAGACTTCCTGACCTCAGTGGCTGTCAGTGCATGGAGGTGACGGGAGGGACCGTTTTGACTCTGCTCGGACATGGATCGTGTGATGGCTGCGTCTTGCGGCTGGGATGATAGCTGCGTCTTGTGGCCACAGGTTGCGCCCGGCTGGCGCAGCGGGATGCAGGATGGCGCGAGGGTACGGGAGGGAGCACTTCGCCTCCTCTTCTTTCCTCGCTCTGTGGCTCCTCCTCAATCCTCTGGCTTTCCCCCTCCTCCTCCTCCTCCTCCTCCTCCTCTTCCTCCTCCTCCTCTACTACTAACTCCTCCTCCTCCTCCTCCTCCTCCTCCTCCTCCTCCTCCTCCTCCTCCTCCTCCTCCTCCCCCGTCTCCTCCCCCTGTCTCCTCCTCCTTCCTCCTCCTCGGCCCTCGAGCCCTCCGAGCGCGGCGGGGCGGCCCCCTCGGGAGGTGGCCGGGCCCCGCTCCATCCGAGTGCGGCACCTGCTCCTGAGGCCTCGACGGGGCCGCCGCCGCCGCCGCTCGTCGTCGTCGTCGTCGTCGTCGTCGTCGTCGTCGTCGTCGTCGTCGTCGTCGTCGTCGTCGTCGACGTCGTCGCTGTCGCCCTCGTCGCCGCCCTGTCTTAGATCGCGCGTCGTCGGGTCTGGGCCGCCTCGAGGTGCGCATCAACCGCTTTAATCTCACAGTGCGTCCTACGGGAATGGGGAGGAGGAAGGAGGAGGAGGAGGAGGAGGAGGAGGAGGAGGAGGAGGAGGAGGAGGAGGAGGAGGAGGAGGAGGAGAGGAGGAGGAGTTGAGGAGGGAGGAGGCGGAGGAGGAGGAGGAGGAGGAGGAGGAGGAGGAGGAGGAGGAGGAGGAGGAGGAGGAGGAGGAGGAGGAGGAGGAGAGGAGGCGGAGGAGGAGGAGGAGGAGGAGGAGGCGGAGGAGAGGAGGAGCGAGGAAGAGGAGGAGGAGGAGGGGAGGAGGAGGAGGAGGAGGAGAGGCGGAGGAGGAGGAGGAGGAGGAGGAGGGAGGAGGAGGAGGAGGAGGAGGGGAGGAGAGGAGGAGGAGGAGGAGGAGGAGGAGGAAGGAGGAGGAGGAGAGGAGGAGGGAGGAGGAGGAAGGAGGATGAGGAGGAGGAAGGAGGAGGAGGAGGAGGGAGGACGGAAGATAGGGGATGCACGAAGTGGATGAGAAAGAGGCAGGAGGAGGCGGAGGTGGAGACGGAGGAGGAGGAGGAGCCGGATGACCCACATATCGTTTCCTCTCTCCTGCCGTTGCTGTTGCTGCCCAGATGTTGCACTGATAGCTTTGATCACAATTTCTGGATTTCTGCAGATAGCATGGTCAGACCTGGTCACAGGGTCTTCATATCCCCAGAACAGAAGACAAGGCGAGCAAGAAGAGAGGAGGATGAGGGGTAGGTGGGGGGGGGGAGGGGGGGGGAGGATAAGGAGGAGGACGAGGAAGAAACGGAGAATGTGGATGTGGTGACGGGGGAGAAGGAACAGGAGGGGGAGGAGGCAGAAGAAGGAGGAGGGGGATGTCGTGGTACAGGAGGAGCGGGGGGAGCAGGAGAAGGATAGGGATGAGGGCCGTGATTCTGATGATGATGAGGATCTCTTGCTCGTGATATCGTAATAGGATGAGAATGATGGTGATGCTGCTGATGATGATGATGCTGATGATGTTGATGATGATGTGATGATGATGCTGATGATGATGGTGACGAAGATGATGATGCTGATGATGCTGATGCTGATGCTGATGCTGCTGGTGATGATGATGCTCCTGCTGATGATGCTGATGCTGATCATGGTGATGTTGATGGTCATGACGAAACCACCCATGGCGAGGACGATGCAGATCCAGCCGGTTATGATTATGATGCTGATGCTGCTTTGGATGTTGATGGCTGTGACCATGACTAGTGTTGTCGATGGATTGTGGTGATACTGACGGTGCTTGCAATAAGAGGTAGGAGTATGGGAAAGGAGGCACGAGAAGGATGTGGGGGTACGTTGAGGTAGAAGGGCAGGACATGGATGATGAGGATGGTGGTGATGATGGCTGCGGCGACGGTAGTATTGGTAACGATGGTGATGGTGAGGATCATGGAAGTAGTGATGACGATGACGATGACGATGATGATGATGATGATGATGATGCTGATGATGATGATGATGATGATGATCTTCATGCTTCTGCTGATGCTGATGCTGATGCTGCTGATGATGATGATTTTGATGATAATGATGATGATGATGATGCTGCTGCTGATGATGATGATGATGATGATGATGTTGATACTGCTGCTGATGATGATGCTGATGCTGCTGCTGATGATGCTGATGATGATGATGGTACTGATGATGTTTATGATGATGATGATGATGATGATGATGATGATGATGATGATGATGATGATGATGATGATGATGATGATGATGATGACGATGATGATGATGATGATGATGATGGATGATGATGATGATGATGATGATGATGATGATGATGATGATGATGATGATGATGATGATGATGATGGTGATGATGCTGCTGCTGATGATAATGATGATGATGATGATGATGATGATGATGATGATGATGATGATGATGATGATGATGATGATGATGATGATGAGAGCCCATCGAAAACTCCCGGTGTGAAGAATTTGCAACGCCCGGAGATCAGAAAGCGGTGCCGAAGGCGCCGCCAGGGCCCCCCCTGGTCGCCGATCTGGGAACCCCGCGCGGAGCTCCGAAAGTTTCTGCCTCGTCTCCGAACGCAGTCAGCGCGAAGGGAAACGACACTCGACTTCCCAAGTCGCAGGCGATTTCTCTCCCCCAATCCCCGACTTCCGCCAGAAAAGTTTGGTCGCTCAGAAAAGGGGAGGAATCTTGGGATACATCCCGAGGGGGCTATTCGGACGCACTGTCGAGGATGGACGCCCCCCCCTCGTATATCCCAGGGTTGGGCCCCAAATTGTTGATCCTCTCGAAAACCTCACGGAGCCTGGGATAGGGGTCGACGCATCCCCTGTTACCAAGGGTGCCCTTGCGTCCTTGCCTGAAGTCGGGCATGTCCTCCTACAGGTGGATTTTGGAAGAGACAAGGGGTCCGAAAATCGTCCCCGGGCCGTTTTTGAGTACTCCTCCTGTAGAGGGACCTGCCCGACTCAATCCTTGCCCCTTCGGCTCGTGCTTTGCCGCTCTCGCGGGCCAGCCTCTCTCGGGCTACCCCCTTGGGGCGTCGCTCGTGGTACTTCTAATTCGGGCGTCGAAGGCCCTCGCGTACTTGCCGCGCGGCCTTGCCGGCGTACCGAAGACCCACCGCCTGCCGAGGTCCCCGAATTCTGCGACCCTTTGTGCACAGTGTGAAGTCGGGCCTGTCCCTTTACAGGGGAAATATTCAAAATAGTCAAAAAATAATATGGGGATGATTTTTCTAACTATTTTCGAGCATGTCTTCAGTATTTTGTTGTTTTTTTATCACCTAAAATTCGCCTGTAGGGGGACAGGCCCGACCTAAGCCCTAAGCATAGTAAGGATGGGCAACCTCCCAAGGGTACCCTTGCATCCTTGCCTTCTCGGTCCATCCTTCTTTCGTTGGCCGCGCCCCGTTCGAAAAGCTTCGAAATGGGCTTCCAAGGCCCTTGCACCCCTATCGCGCATCCTTAAGATACGGACCGACTGTACCCTTGCCTCTTGCGGGCCCACTTGATGCAGGGGTATCGGATAATCCAGCATGGGGTCCATTGTGCTACAGGCGACTTTCCAATTCTGAACCCGCCAGCGCTTCAGAAATCCGACCTGCAGGCCTAGGCATGCGATGTCATGTCGTCTTTGTCTTACTCATTGTTTTTTCCGATCGGCGCAGGCCCTGCACCCCTTCCCATGGAGTAGATCTTTGTTGTTTTTGGCGCCTGTTTCAAGCAGGTGGAGGCTTCCCCCGTGGGACGCACTGTTTCAGACAGTCGCATTAAGCAGAGGTCCGGAGCCAGACCCCTCCCACCCCCCTTCTGCCCAATGTCGAAACGCCGAATAAGAAAACGTTCGCCATGATCATTTCAGTACGCAGTCCCCGGAAGTCCCGACCCATGGTCCCGGGGCCTGGCGAGAGCCCCCAGAGGCCGAGAATACCTAAGATTCGTGTCCGTCGTAATTTTTTCCACGGCGCGAGGAGGTCTGGGCCTGGGAGTCAGAGTCGGCCCCCCGACCTCCCCTGGGCTGTGTTGTGACCAGAATCTCGAGGCGGAATGCTGCCGTGATGACGAGGAGCCTCCCCGAGGTGCAAACAGTCTAGGACTCCTAGGCGGGGTCGTAGTAGATGGGGTCGGAGGATCGCGCCGCATCGCCGATGCATCGCCGAGGCGGCTCGATGTGGAGCCCGATGTTCCTCACGTCGACGTCGCCGATACATCGCCGATGCAACGCCGATGCGGCGCCGGTGCGGCGCTGGTGCATCGCCGATGCGGCGCGATCCTCCAGCCCCATCTACCGACCCCATCTAGGAGGCCTCTGGTCTGCACGCACGAGATGGGCACGGAAAGAATGGGTACGATGCCCAACAGCAGTTCCTGTTCATTTTGAACGGGACTCGCTGTCCGCGCCGCCGCGGCCGGAGTTCATTTGAGACAGAAGGCCGCCTGGCCAACGGCGGCCGCCGTTGGTTTGGGGCAACCACTTGCTGTTGGGCATCGTGCCCATCATTTCCGTACTCCAGATTTCGTAATAAAGGGAGGGGGGTCTCATTTCGGGGGGGGGGGTCTCTTCCAGGCCATCTTGGAGGGCCTGGGGGGGTCTGGGGACGATGTTTTCGAGGGTTCTCCCACGAGGGGGGGTCTGAAATGGCTTGTCTTGGAGGGTCCAGACCCCCTCCCTTTTATTACGAAATCTGGAGTGCCCATTTTCGGGTGCCCAAGTCTGGTGGTGACGGGGGGCCTCCTCGAGGTTGCCCCCGGGGCGAGATGGCGCCCAGAGGCCTCGGGCCCCGAGCCGCGCCGCAGAGCGCGGCTCGAGGCTCGAGGCCCGTGCGGCGGTGGTCGCCCGCGGGGTCCGCAGGGGCGGCCGGCGCGGGCGCCTCTCGGAGGCGATCTCGGCCCGTGCGCGCCCCATGCAAGCAGCGGCGAAGCGGCCCGGCCTGCCAATCGGACCGCCAAGGCAAGTTCTCCGATGCAGTCGGGCAGGTCCCTCCACAGGAGGAACACGCAGAGGTCGTGGAACAATAGTCTGGGGACGGAATTTGGACCATCTCCGACTGTTTTTGATAATTTTTGGCTACTTTTGGATTCTTCCTCCAAGATCCGCCTGTAGGAGGTCATACCCGACCTAATTCTAAGAACTTTTTGTCAGCCACGCGCAGAGGGGGGTGAGGGAGGGGGAGGGCTGCTTGGAAGGGCCCCTGCTTCTCAGACGGCGCGGGGCTTGTCTATGGATGTCGGGCCTGCGCCTTCTAAGAAGCAGCCTCCTTCTAAGAAGCCTTCCCCCTCCCTCCACTCGCTCGTGCGTGCCGCCAAAATGTATGGTTTGAACGAACTGGTAGCATTTTTCTGTTCTCAGTGCGTTCAGTGGCTCTGAGGACATTTCGTGCTAGGCCTATACCCGTCGGTCGTTGAAGGTAGATCGGAGGTTGAGGGGTGAGATCGCAGTGGAACGGAGACCCCCAACCAGGAGAGTCAAGACAAATGATTCTCCCCCGCCCGTCCGGCGGTGGCTCGCGGTGTCCCGCGGTGTCCCGTGGTGTCCCGTTGTGTCCCGTGGTGTCCGCCGTTGCTAGGGTGAAGTCAAGACAAATGATTCTCCCCCGCCCGTCCGGCGGTGGCTCGGGGTGTCCTGCGGTGTCCCGTGAAGTGCCGTGGTGTCCCGTGGTGTCCGCCGTTGCTAGGGCGAAGTCAAGACAAATGATTCTCCCCCTCCCGCTCGTCCGGCGGTGGCTCGCGGTGTCCCGCGGTGTCCCGTGGTGTCCCGTTGTGTACCATGGTGTCCGCCGTTGTTAGGGCGAAGTCAAGACAAATGATTCTCCCCCGCCCGCCAGTCCGTCCGTCCGTCCAGCGGTGTCTTGTGGTGTCCCGTGGTGTCCCGTGTTGTCCCGTGTTGTCCCGTGGTGTCTTGTTGAGAGAGATCGATAGTGAGATCGATAGTGAGATCGATAGTGAGATCGATACTCAGATCGATGTGGTGCCCCGAGGTGTCCCGTGGTGTCCCGTGGTGTCCCGGTGAGTGAGATCGATAGTGAGATTGATGGTGAGATCGACAGGTGTCCCGTGGCGTCCCGTGGTGTCCAGTTGAGTGAGATCGATAGTGAGATCGATACTGAGATCGATGTGGTGTCCCGAGGTGTCCCGTGGTGTCCCGTGGTGTCCCGTTGAGTGAGATCGATAGTGAGATCGATAGTGAGACCGATAGTGAGATCGAGAGGTGTCCCGAGGTGTCCCGTGGTGTCCCATGGTGGTCCGTGGTGTCCCGTGGTGTCCAGTTGAGTGAGATCGATCGTGAGATCGACAGTGAGATCGACTAGTGTCCCGTGGTGTCCCGTGGTGTCTTATGGTGTCCCTTTGTGTCCCGTTGAGTGAGATCGATAGTGAGATCGATTGAGTCAGATGCTGTTTCCCCTCCCTCTCCCCCCCCCACAACCTCCTTATCACCCGAAGGGTGGTCGTATAGGTATTGTGGGATTCCCAGATCCCAATCTACTTCAGCCGCCGTCCTGCTTTAAGAGTCGAGCGGTTTTCCCTCGTCCCTCCTCGTGATAGGGGGCGGGCGGGCGCTCAGTCCACCTCCAGCGCCCTCCTGCTTCATGTTTCTATGCCCACTTCTTCCGACCGACGGGTATACGTTCCAGCAACACCGTTTTGCTCTCAGAGCAGACTTCTGTCCTGAGGACATTCCCAGACCCCCGACGTCGTGCTTGTTTTTGAACAGCGTCGGCCCCCAGAGGTCTGAACCCTTTCCCCGCGACGGTCCCGTGGCCCGGGGAGGGCCCCGCGAGGCCGAAACGAGCGCAAAACCTCCCGTCGTGATTTCCTAACAGCGCGAGGGGGTCTGGGCTCTAGGAACGCCCGGGCGGTCGGCCCCCGCGCGACAGCTCCGCCGAGAGGTGTGCGGAGCCCGGGCGCCCGCTGCCCGACGACCCCATGGCGCGGCAGCCGCCAGCCGGCCAGCGGACGCGGACGCGCGGCGGCGGCGCCGCGGACGCGCGCGACGCCCGCCGCCGCCCGCCCGCGCGGCGCCCGCCGCGCCAGAGAGCCGAGGCTCCGACAGAAGTCGGAGCGGGCGGTTTTGGGCCAGTGTCGGGCCCCCGGGGGGGCCCTCGAGGAGGAGGAGGAGGAGGAGGAGGAGGAGGAGGAGGAGGAGGAGGAGGAGGAGGAGGGTGCGGATGAGGATCAGGATGGGGACACGGATGAGGATGAGGATCATGCTGTCGATGATGATGGTGAGGATGAGGATGAGGACGATAATGATGATGCTGCTGCTGATGATGTTGATGATGATGCTGATGGCTGATGATGATATGATGCTGCTGCTGCTGATGATGATGATGCTGATGATGATTGTGATGGTGATGATGCTGAAGATGATGATGATGAGGAGGAGGAGGACGACGACGACGATGATGATGATGATGAGGATGATGATGAGGATGATGTTGATGATGATGATGATGATGATGATGATGATGGTGGTGGTGGTGATGATGATGCTGATGCTGCTGATTATGATGATTATGATGATGATTATGTTACTGATGCTGATGATGATGCTGATGATGGTGATGATGATGCTCATGCTGCTGCTGATGATGATGAGGAGGCTGATGATGCTGCTGCTGATGACGGTGATGATGATGCTGAGGCGGTTGTTGTTGATGATGATGATGATGATCATGATGATGGTTTCTGGTGCTGTGCTCTAGCGCGTATCGCGCTGCAGCCTGACAGGAAGGCGGTCGGCCCGGCCAGGGGCCTGCGAACCTCGCTCTAGACTCGCTTGCCAAGCTCTCTCGGGCCGACGCTCGAGCCAAAATTGGAGCGGCTGGTTTTTGACCATCTGCGGCCCCCGGAGGCCTTCAACGGGCCCTGGGACCTTCAAACAACTTCTTGGAGTTTCTTGATAAGCGTCGGGGGGGCGTCACCTCCGCTGACATCCCACACCGACCTCCGTCGCGGGCAGCCACCGCGCGCCGAAGGCGCTCCGACCTCCGTCGCGGCGCGACGACAAGTCGAGGTTGACCCCTGTCGGGGGGTATCCCCTCACGCTTATTAAGAAACCCAGAGTATGTTGGACGAAGAACGGAAAGTCGTCCAGACCTCCTGGGGTCCCACGCATCAAGTTTGGGCGCCAGATGCCTGGGCGCGAGGCGGGGATCGTATGCACAGTCACTGCCTGGGGGTCGAGCTTCGACGTTTTCTGCGGCGGGGTTCGAGGCTCAAGGCTTTGGGGCGCTCTTCGTCCTCCTTGCAGCTCGGGGAGTCTCCTCGTCACCACGGCTGGATCCGCCTCGGAATTCTGTTCAACGCAGCCCAGGGGAGGTCCGGGGCGGACTTTGACCCCCAGGCCCAGACCCCCTCACATCGTGAACAAAAACACGATGGGAGGTTTCAGGCCGTTCTCGGCCTCTGGGGGCCCTCGCTAGGGCTCGGGACTGGCAAAAGACGACTCGGGGGATGGAACACCAGCCCTGGGGAACGGATGGGGACTTCTGGGGACCATGTACACGTCGGTCGTTGAAAGTAGGTACTTTTGGATTCCCAGATCCCAATCTACTTCACGCGCCTTCCTACTTCAAGAACCGGCCTGCTGTTGCTGCGTTCTGTGATTCTTTGGGGAGGGCCTGGGCCCAATCCACTTTATCCGCCGTCCTACTCCACCTACTTCTTCCGACCGGCGTGCACCGAACAAATCAAGACATTGGATGGTTGGATCGGGGGCCTTACGCGCAGCCACCGCCTGCTCTGGGGGGCCCTCGGCAGGCGCTCGGAGAGGCAGGCCTGGACCCAATCCACTATATCCGCCTTCCTACTTCATGTTTCTGCCTACTTCTTCCGACCCGCGTGCACCGAGCAAATCAAGACACTGGATGGTTGGGATCGGGGATCTTACGCGCCGCCACCGCCTGCTTTGGGGGGCCCTCGGCGGGCGCTCGGAGAGGGCAGAGGTGAAATTACGCCCCCTGCCTCGCCTCTTCGCCTTTCTTGGGGCCTCCTGGGAGGCCCTCGTCGCCACCGCGGGGTGCGCCCCGAAGTTCTGGTCCGAGCGCGCCCGGGGTGGACTCGGGGAACCTCCTCCTCCTCCTCCTCCTCCTCCTCCCCGAAATTCTGGTCCGAGCGCGCCCGGGGCGGACTCGGGGAGTAGCGTCGGCTCCAGCGGAGGGAGGAGACCGCAGCCGCCTCGCGGGAGCGGGCCCGAGCCGGCTGGAGTCCACCGCGGTGCCCTTGGCATCGCTCCGACGTGTGCATTGTTCCTTCGGCGAGGATTATCGAGGAGCATCCCTGATCATTTGGCGAAAAAAAACCACGCACGAAACCGAAACAAACAAAGGACATGGACGTCCGAGCGATGGCCAGCGCCTGGCATGGCCGATGGGTCCCCACGGTATCCCGGCGCCGCAGTTTTTTTTCTCTCCCCGGGGCGGCGTCGCCC